TCTGTCTATCTGTCTATCTGTCTGTCTGTCTGTCTGTCTGTCTGTCTGTCTGTCTGTCTCGTGACGTCACCACACGCTCGACTCTTCTAGAGCTGCATTTCACCTCCTGTTATTAATAGCCTCTAGATAATAATAAAGTCTTACTTTTTTCATTTAGTGGGGGAATAATGATGGACACAGTCAGATACACACAAATCAAATGAAAATTTTGCCAAATAAAACAAAAATATCGCCATCAGAGCCAGCGATCCTTCACACACGGCTATGCCGAAAGAGGACTGCCAAGGATGAGGGAGGTCTTGTTGGTCTCCGTCTCCATCTCAGACATTTCGACATCTTTTTCTGAATCCGACATTGTAGCATGGCATACACAATTCATGTTTGCTGTTTGAAAAACACCTGCTTGCTTCTGATGAGTGCCTTTGCCGTCAGCACAAATTTGACAAATAGCTAACCAATGAGTGTTTGCGTTATATGACTCATCCAATTACACTAGTTTTCACTAGATGTGGATGGCGCCAATGATCTACATTGGATGGCACACATGATGTGAAATAAATATTTATAAGCAGTGGGGAATAAGAGAAATTACCATATATTGTTCAAATTGTGCAAATGTAAACATTAAAGCCCCACTTTGCACCCAGAGGTATTACTGGGTAAAGAAAAATGATAGTCTCACCAGGCATCATGGACTCCAGCTTGGCCCAAAACCCGCAGAGGAACTCGTACCCCACCAAGGAACTCATCCCCAAACTTCAGGTTGCTTGCGTTCCAGAGATCCACCCTGAACACAAACATTTCGTCTCTTAGACTCGACAGAAACCCAAAGGGTCTTCTGTTGCAGAAAGTAAACTGCTAACCTGAGTGCCAGTTTATCAACATCCTCCTCTTCAACATCAAACTGCCGCTTTGTGTAGCTCAGTGGCCGTGTTACCTGCAAACATGCATCAGATTAAAGACAGTAAGATTAAGTTTTTACTCCTCAAAGCTAAGTATGTTGAAATATATCAGCTCAGGGTTTGATGATAATTTGCAGCAATAAAACAAATACACGTAAGAAAGATGATGGATGGGCTGTATTTCTGTTTCAATGAAATGCAAAGGAAGGGATTTGGCCAAAAAAAAAACAGCCCAGAGTGTCTGCAGATCTGTTTGCTTTGTTTGCTTTGTCTGAATCAATCATACTCTTGTTCTATGGAAGGGAATCGTTACCATAATTAAATTTAAAAAAAATATTTTTTTCATTTTAAGAATGGGGCTGCATTATTTGACTCATAAATGAAATTAGTAATCAATCGTCCTATTTGCATTTTCTTCTTCAAGACTGCTCATCCTTTTACTTCATTAAAATAAAAAAAAAAAAGACATTTGAGATTTATTTTTCAAAATGTACCCCAGATAATACAAACCAAAATTAAATTTGAAATGTAAAATTTGAAAATGAAAAAGCATTTCCAGAAATGCTTTTTCATTTTAAGAATGTGTATTGTTTGACTCATAAATTAAATTAGTAATCAATCATCCTATTTGCATTTTCTTTTTTAAGACTGAACATTTTATGCCATAATCAAAGAGAAAACACAGCGGACATTGCTTGTTCGTGGTCTGTCTGCAAAGTACTGTCCATAACGAAAAAGCATTCTGAGCGGCGGGCGCAGCAGAGTGACGTGATTATTTGACTCATAAATGAAATGAGGAATCAATCCTCCTATTTGCATTTGCATTTTCTTCTTTAAGACTGCACATTTTATGCCATATTCAAAGAGAAAACACAGCGGACATTGCTTTTTCGTTTTCGTGGTCTGCCTGCAAATTGCGGTCCATAACTCGAAAACGAAAAGCATTCTGAGCGGAGGGCCCAGCCGAGTGACGTCAGCAGCCGCTCTTCCTCAGGTCCTTGCTGACCGGGCTACCAATCTTGTTCGGTAGGGGGCACTGTGCACATCTGCATTGCATTACATTTTAAGTGTGCCAGCGGGAAACTGGTTGGATTGCCTGGTCTGACTATCGGTATATGCTGAACGACCACAATGACCAAAACAGTGGCAGAGCTACTGAGGGAGGCCGCTGCTGCTTTAAAACAAGTGCCTGCTTCTAATGGACCTGTAGCAACGCCAACTGCTCCTGAGTTTCCCGCCGGCACGCTTACAATGTAATGCAATGTAGATGTGCACTTTGCCCCCTACCGAACAAGATGGGTAGCCCGGTCAGCAAGGACCTGAGGAAGAGCGGCTGCTGACGTCACTCGGCTGGGCCCTCCACTCAGAATGCTTTTTCGTTTTCGAGTTATGGGCTGCAATTTGCAGGCAGACCACGAAAACCAAAAAGCAATGTCCGCTGTGTTTTCTCTTTGAATATGGCATAAAATGTGCAGTCTTAAAGAAGAAAATGCAAATGCAAATAGGATGATTGATTACTCATTTCATTTATGAGTCAAATAATGCAGCCACATTCTTAAAATGAAAAAGCATTTCTGAAAATGCTTTTTCATTTAAAATATGGTAATGATTCGCTTCCATACTTGTCCAGCTGGAGCTGCAGTGAGGAGGCCAGAAGGAGGAGCAGCAGAAAAATGCCAGCACAGAACAAACCAGTAAAAACGAGTGTAAAAAATATTTACTGCATAAGTTACCCCAGCAACCCCACCTCTAAGCAGCAGAGGGAAAAGGATGGAAACAAAGGAGACGTAAAAATAAATACAACTCTAGTGCCTTTTGGAAATTCATTTATGCAGAGTTTTTAAGTGACTTCAATTTCTCATCCCCTTAACAGCGTGTTTTCTCCATCAGTGACTAAAAATAGAAGTTTTACCGGTATGTTTAGTTAAAGAGAAGCCATAGTTGCCTTAGCACACAGTGATTCCAAAACAGTGAGCACTAGATGTGTGTTTGATATCACCATTTGATTCAATACTTACTTATTATAAAGGACATACGTTTGTAGGGGTTGGGTCCTAAAGTTATGTTACAGAGCATGCAATCCGATGCTCTGTAACATTGTGTTTAATCAGTTTAATCACATGTAAAAAAAAAAAAAAAAAAAAAAAAAAAAAAAAATAGTTGTCATGGGCTGGGTTTGTTCTTTGAATGAAAAATCAAACAGTCTAATGTCTTGATCTGTTTTAAAAGACCATAACATAAATCAGAGATGAAGGCAAACTAAAGCACAAAATGTCAACCTTTACAAAGAAAACTTGAGAGTTTAAAATTAGCTTCATGCTCCTAAAGTTAAACCCAACAAGGCTCTTAATGGGTCTGAGTGAAATATACCCCATTTACACTACCCTTGAAAAACTGATCCATGCCGAGACCGGTCCGTGCCAGTATTGAAGGAGGAAATCAAGCAGTTGGTGGCGGTAATGCACCAAAAGTTGTTTGCCAACCGCCATAAATCACAAAAAGATGCAGACGAAGAAGGAGGGAATCATGCAATCAAAATGTTGCGTGGAAAAGATGTTGATTGTTGTTTATAGTTGTTCTTCTTCTTCTGTTTTGTGTTGGTTGGAGAGCAACTTCCGGAGGGGCATTACCGCCAACTACTGGAATGGAGTGTGAATCGGGATGTGCAGCCAGACAGAGCCAGACGGACGCGTTCTGCTCATGCGCTCTTGTTATCAGAGAACCGAGCCAGGGAAAAACCGAGCCGAGCCCACCTCTGTAACTGGTCTGCATTTAGCTCGGTTCAGTTCAGTTTGCTTTCCATTTACACACGGTAAGTTATCTCAGTTACTGAGCTCAGACAGGTCTCAGCACGGTTTTTCAAGGGTAGTGTAAATGGGGTAATAGTGTATACTCCACTGCACCCAGAGGCGGCAGGCTGGGAGGCTCTAGCTACAAGAGGAGGATGAATGTTACCTCAATTCATCCTATGTCAACATACATTTTTCTATCTTTCATTTTGATCAAACAAAGCTAAGTCAGTGCTGAGCTGCTTCATCCAACCTCAGAAGTAGATCCACATCCTAACTGATGGGCCTGAAGCACACTGACAGAAGAGTACAGATTTCTGAACTCCAGTGACGTTCTCTTTGCTTTCGCCACAGGTTTCCCTTTGCTCTCTATGCCCTAACCCGGGAGTCGGCAACCCGCGGCTCCAGAGCTCATGCTACTATGGGACATTTGCTCCAGGATAAACATTAAATCATGAAGTCTTATTATATATTATTATATATAATAAGCATTCAAATATATATATAATATATAACATATATTTTGGCTTAAATATTATTATATATTTAAGCCCAAATAATCCTTTTCTATAGTGGGATAATACAGTTAGAGCCTGTGTTGTCATACGAGGCTTATATAACACTTTTACATTTTTGCGGCTCCAGATAGATTTATTTTTCGTTTTTTTGGTCCAATATGGCTCTTGAAGCAATTTGGGTTGCCAACCCCTGACCCAACCATATCCTTTGCATGTCCTTCACATGGCTTTGCATTGCTTGGCTTCTTAATGGGCCTCTACAAATAAATCAAAATCTCTCACTCTGTTGGAATCATTCGTGTTGGATGTGGACAAAACCAGTCTAAAAACAACAGTTAGCAAACTGTTCAGCAGCAGACTGCAGGCTGGCTGCTCAGGCAGATATACCTCTGTTACCTCTATAAAACTCAGCGAAGCAAAACAGTTTCCTCAGTAAGCACTTAAACTGTCATTCTGCATCTGCTTGTTTTAAGTAAAACATATGTTTTAAATCTATGTATGAAAATCAAAATAATATAGGAATGTTATAGATAATCGATTCCCAAAGTTGGGCTTAAGGATCAACAAGCACTGCGTCTTGAGATCCACTACAGAAATCAAACTAAGCAATAAAAGTAATGAGGATGAAGGACATTTGTGTTTGAAAGGATTAAAACATCACATAATCAAATACATGCTGTTTTAAATTATGATTGTACCCAAGATTAAGGTTTGTATTTAGACATTTTTGTATTCCACCCAATAGTTTCGATTATAACAACATCCTGGTACTATTTTGTGGCTCTAAGGTTGAAAAGTCTGGGAATCTCTGTCCTAGATTATGTTTTTATGACTGCATTCAACATGTTTTATCATCTTAGCATCAGCTTTTTGTTTTCAAATGTTACTTACTTAAAAAAAAACACACATTTAAAGGGGAATGCCCTTGATCTTAAGTTATTACATCATGTTTTACTCACCCATATAAGTTTTGTGTCATTTGGAGCCGTTCTGAAGATATTCCTGTTAGGTTATAACCAAGTAACATCTTCCGATGAGCAATCGACTTGAAGGCACAAACTAAACTGTTCATAATTTATTCTTTATGGTATGCCAGCATTCATAACATGTAGGCGAATCACTGTCCCCCAGACATTGGTGGTTATATTTTTTTTATTTATATGTTTTAAAAAACAAAGGGGCGTGTGTATGATGTCATCCTCGGGCTGGACTGGAGTCGTAACAGGAAGCCCGGGCCACAGGCGGCTACGCTCTACCCCTTCTATTCATTTGGCTAGCTAATCTGAATCGTTCAATTCCATTTCGAAAGTGAGATCATCTGTGGTACTAGCACCAGACATCTTCCAGGTATGTGAGTAAAACTAGCAGCAGTTCAGCGGACAGGATGAATGAAACGCGGATGTCTGGGGGACAGTGATTAGCCTACGTTATGAATGCTGGCGTACCATAAAGAATAAATTATGAACAGTTTAGTTTGTGCCTTCAGGTTTTCCCATAGGAAGACGTTACTTGGATATGACCTAACGGAATAAATAAACTGAATATCTTCAGAACGGCTCCAACTGACACAAGACTCATATGGGTGAGCAGAACATGATGTAATAACGTAAAATCAAGGGCCAAATGTAAAAAAAAATGGCGTTCCCCTTTAAAATCATGAAACTGTTTTATTTACCTCTGGATTTCACTCATACTGGCACCCCTAACACTAAAGCTTGAACAGCTACCATACAGAAGAGAAAATAATACCTCAAAATAGAAAATTTCCTCAAACTGGGGATTGTTGGTTTTCCTCTTAACCTTGGTCTTCTTGGCCTCAGACCTGCAGCAAAGAACAAATGCAAAGAAATATATTCAAATATTGTTATCCCAGATCAAAGCAGTGATAATATACAAACCCATCCCCAGACTCACCTCGAAGGGCCGAGTAAGGAAACAGCAGCATAAGGATCACACTGTCCATTGACGATTGGAAGGCCCTGGCACTCCAGCACTCTGTTAAAAATAGATATTAATGCATCAGCACAATACTGAGTAGGAGTCTCACACACATACATCAGATCCCACTGGGTTATATGCTTCAAAGCTCTTACTCTGAAAAGAAAATTATCTCAGACAGCATTCTTGTAGAGGAGCCTTGCATCAACATTTAATTCTGTATTTTTTTTTTTTACCAGATTTAAAGTCTAATGATAGATTAGGCAGTGTCTTTTCTGTTGAGAACCAAAATCAGTTCACTGGTTCCCAGATACAAGCTCAGTAGGTATTTCTATAAACCGTCCAGTCAGAAGAAAGATTGGATTTCTTGCTTGGAAACAAGATGATAACACAGTCCCTGCTATCTGTGCAGCAAAGAGAGGAGCAGATTATAGCAAGCAGCTTCCAGTCTTACAGTGTCGGCTCTGTGGAACGGTGTACAGTCACTTTATTAATAGATAACACTGCAGCTGTGAGGAGTTCATGTGCTAAAAATGGCTTAACTCAGCTTTAATGTGTAAAATAATGATACAGCTGAGTCAGAAGTAATCCCATAGGCAATCTTAACGACATCAGAATTCATGAATAATTAAAGAGAGGATCATGTAACTGCTAAAAAAAAAAACGGGATAAACATTAAAATTGCACATTTTTATTAAATGCAATTAAGCCTAATTTTTACCCTTATTAGACACATATGTGTCCTAGTTTTGGTATCTTTGCTTTGATTATCTGCCCGTCTATAGAGGTTGACCTCATGACATCATGCTGTAAAGGGGATTAGCAGCCAAACAAGGCCTCATACAGGACAAATCACTTCCTCTGTGTTACTGTGATGCACAACGAGTCACCCTGCATGACGAACTTAACAGTAAATCCCAGCGCTTCCTACAACCCATGCGACACACACATGTAGTAGCTTGCACAATCCTCCATGCACATGCACACACATTCACAGAGATCTGTGATAAGGAGTAAGGTGTGGGCGTGGTTAAGCAGTGCTTAATGCTGTAGCACTTCCTGTCCAGTAAGCTGGTTTATATAACCTCTGCTTGCCCTGCAACACATCCAGCCTCCTCTCTCTGTCATCACCGGCATGAGCTCTGACAGGCCAGACAGCCGCGGGTGAAGCAGACTTGTTTGTTTTAGTAGACGTTACTCATATTAGGTTAATGTGCCTTATCACCCACGTTTCCTGTCAAAGACAATTACACACAAAGGACAAGGATGACATTACAGCCTCCCTGTCACCCCAAACAAATCTATAATTAAAAACCGGCTCCTGTCGTCATCTGGAATTCATGAAAACGGCAACTTTTGGTGAAAAACGTTTTCTGAAAACATTTCGAAATCTATCCAGGACTCTTTTTTTTCTTTTCTTTTCTATTGTGTGGTCGCCATGACATGGATCACTGAGCGTTTCTGTCATGAACTGGTTTAAACAACAAAAACATAAGGAGGGAGAAAGTTGTGCTTTTTCTTTCTGGGAGGAGGCGGAGGGGGCTTTGAGAAATACAGATGCATAAAACCTCAAGAGAAGCCATTTGAGTCAGTGACATTTGTGGTTGGAAGAAAAATGAAACTGAAATCAAAAAGGGGTTTCTTTTTATCTAAATAAGCTACAAATGACAGTAAATGAAACTTATAAGATGGTAAGAATCAAACTCTGACGGGGCAAACTGAACAATCACTACCAGCTGCAACATCTCAGGAATAGAGAGAGCAGACGTTTATTTTAGACACCGTAGAATTATCATTATTTTATCCACCTCCTAAACTCCAGTACAGCTATAAAATGCAAAAAACAAGGCAAGGCAATGAAGAAAAAAGGAGAAAACGGTAACTGAAACTGAAAACTGTTTCTTAATTTTCACATGTAGTGCATTATCTATAAAATATTTTTAAAAGTCACAATCTGTCTATTTGTGTCATTTTGTGTTACATTAACCCTGTCACCGCACCCTAATGGCAGTCTTTCTGCTTTTGAATGTGGCAGAGATGTTAACCTACATATAACATTGGAGTTTTTTTATGTTTTGTGTTTAGCCCTTTTTTTATTTTCCTGTGTTAAAGCTTTAAATAGCCAATTAGATGAAAATGCATGAATTTCAAGCAGTATTGACTTTATTAGTTGTACTCCATAAAGGACTCCAAACTTCTGTTTCCAGGCAAATCTCCCAACAGATTTTTCTAAAATTAATGGAATATTTATGAATAAAATAATTCCTCGAAAAACACAATAAAAAATAAAAACCAAAATACTCTTTCAACAAGAAACACATACTTCTGTTTTCTAAGGTTTAATTTACAATGTATCCACTGGAATGCATGTAGAGATGTTTCGATCCAATATCGATACCAGAAAGTGATCCGATATCAGCCAAAAAGTAAGTAAGTAAGTAAGAAAGTTGTTCTTATATCTGATCTAGTATTTTTCTTAATCATACCTTTTCTATCATTGTTGGTGAAGATTCTCAGTCATCCAGGTCAGTGTCACTCCATAAAAGTGAAAAAAACAAACCAGTGGACTTTGTTTCCAAGTTTGAAAACGTTTCGCTTCCCATCCAGGAAGCTTTTTCAATTCAAAATGTCATAAATAGTGTTGAGTTCAAAATTCAACACTATTTGAGGGAGTTCAAAACTCAACACTATTTATCACATTAAAGTAAAAGTTTAAAATAAACTTTTACTTTTGCAGTAAATCTAAAGTATATCATCAAAAGACAAGATTCTATTGTAGAAATCTGTAATTTTTCCTAAGTAGAATTCAATCTCTGACATGGGGTCTTTTTTAGGGTTGACCATTTAGAAAAAGATGCAATTGATTTATTACTATTTTATTTCCATATCTGTACCTATTGCCTCATATTTTCCTTATTTACCTTTACTCAGGCGAGTGTTGGCCTAGCGGCCTTAGAGCAGTGCACTGGTGCTCTGAGAAGGTTGCAAGTACCTGGTTCGATCCCCACAGCCTCCACTCTGGGATCCTGAGCAAAGACCCTTAACCCCACATAGCTCCCTGGGTGCCGCACAATGGCAGCTCGCTGCACCCCAAGGGGATGGGTTAAATGCACAGAGTGAATTTCCCCATTGTGAGACAATAAATGGATTTACAATTTACTCTTGATTATTTTAACAAGGCCCCCATCACTTCTCCTAAATGTATTTATCTATTTTATTCATTCAATTTCTTTGGGCAGCATTGCAAAGCAATGTCTACATTGAGATATGTAAACCTTGAGGTGGAATTTTGAGAACTTATACAAGCTAACCCCTTTTTTTAATTCTAAATATCTCAGTGAGCAACATCTATATCAGGAGAGTGGGGGGCATAGGAAGCATTTTAAGTCTATCTGACTGATCAAAAATAACACATGAAAGCACATGAAATAACCAAAGCATTGAGCTGTATTTGGAATATTACACATATTGATACTGCTCGGATGATAGCGATACGATTTATGCTACAGCTCTATTTTTATGTAGAGTACCAAAGCTTTGCATGTGTTTTTATTTAAGTGAGTAACAACCACTGCTGTTGCTGCTGCTGTTGTGGTTTTGGTTTCTTGAATCGGTTTACACTCTTTGATTTGCATGCATTGGTCTCTGCAACGACCCACGCCCAAAGCAGTGACTGTAAGTTGTTTAAAAAGTTCAAATATTTCCAACTTCACCAGATTTTTGTTAAATGAATAGTGACTTCTAATACAACAGTACCTGTAGTTTCTGCTTCAAAACTAAAGGTTGAACTTCTATTTAGACTACAGTCTCCCATAAAGCTAGCAAAGTTAATTTTATATGACAGAAACAGACAGCATACATGATTTTTCTAATTTTGATGATCTCTATTTAGCATTTTCTATTCATTAAACAATAAAACATCCAAATATAAAGCTTTGGTCTTTTTTACCCTCTGCCTTATCAACAGCACACTGTCTGACTGATGCAGATGAAAAAAACTTGTGGCTAAAGGCTGGCTAACTTGTAGGGTGGACTACTGAGAACAAAGGTTCTTAAATAATCTCTGGAGTCAAACTTGACAAGCCAATCTAATGTAAATATGCACATTTGATGATCCAATTATTTCTTTGGTTACTGTAAATGAATGCATAAAGCAGCTCTCTTCGCCTCGCTCTAGAGAAATCTGATGAGATGACCCCCTGGTCTTCACTCTAAGCTTCTTACCAATATGTGATCTTGGAGCAGAGCCACAGTTAATTGACTGCTATGTTTTCCTGTCTTTCCAGTTTTGAAAAATGACACATTTTATACCAATGAAAAAAAAATCCATGGGCTACTAAATAACTTTCTGGTCATATTCAAAAGTTAAGCAAAAATGACAGAACTGCTTTGCTTCTATTTATTTTATAAAGCTTTTTATATATTTATTTTCTACATATTATTGTTATTCCAAAAAAACAACCTTCAGTGATTATTAAAAAAAACTCTTGTGATGAAAACAAAACCAGTGTGTGGGGAAGATCTATGTAACTGCACATTTTTTTTTCTTTTTTTTCTTACACTTGCTGTCTTTATTACCAAAGAACATGGAAAAAGGAAATAGGATGACAAGACAGGCTGGAAAACATGCAATAAAAGATCCCCCTGAACAGGACTCAGAGGAGGAACAGATGCTTCCATCCATTGGGTAACACATTCTGCTACTGAGCGACACGCCTATTGTTTTATGCAGAGTATAAGAAATGTAAGGTGGAGGAGAGGGTTCATGAGATCGGACTCACCGTGTGGCCAGTTTATGGCTGATCACGCCACTGTCAGTGATAACTTCACTCAGACGCAGCTCCAGGTGAACCTTTCCCTGAAAGACACAGAGATGTATGCAAAAGAAAAATGAGACAACGATCACACTAAAGCTGCAGGACATTCTCAAAACCAGTTGGAGTTTATTGGCAAAAAGTCAGCTGAACAACACATACTGACACCTATAGCATCAACACTTGTACATTACTAATGTGCAATCTACATGACATTTATTCCTTTAAACATTTCACAGGATCGGAGCTGCAAGCATCCAGAATAAAAGCATTGTTGAGTGTTTAGATCTGTAGACTGAGAAGAGCCTGTTGGTTTGGTCGTATATTAGGAATCATTATTTGTGTTTATTAATTTTGAAGAAAAAAACAAACAAAAAAAATTTGACTTAAAATGTAACATTTTTACACTAAATGATAGCTTCCAGGGCCTTTAACTCTTCTATGTTTTATAGATTCTTATAAAAGTTTTATCCCTTCTCTTTTTTATGATAGTGGGTGTAAATGTGAAACACTTTAGTCATCGATTGGATTTAAAAGGTGTTCTAATTGAATATGACAATGGATAAAATTGGCCCTCCAGCAAAACAAACTTTATGAACTTTTCCACTCATCTAACTTCTGTTTCATACCTGTGCATTATTTTATTTTTATTATCTAAAGGTTTAAAGTTATAGGTTCCAAAGCCAATAGGTCAAAATACAAATACTGATTTATGAATTTATGAAAAGCAAATGTTTATGTTTGTAATGGTAGGACAGAAAAAGTGTTTCCATGGAGCTCCTCACTTACTGACCCAAAGATGGCACTCCCTGCTACTGTTCTCTAATCATTTTTATGCTGCCGTAAAAAAAAATCCACTTAAAAAATCGATTTTGCAAAGATTTTTCATTGTGAGAATTTTTTTTACAGTAGAAAGACTCTCAACCTTTTTACACACCTCTGTAAAGCGTGCCAATAAGGGAGTCAGATGCTGTGTTTGTATTTTCTATCAATTCTGAAACCATCGTATACAGGATAATCTAAGTTAGAAGCTTATTGTTTATGCTATGAGACATTCAATAAATCCTGTTTTTTAATGGTTATAAAAAACAGTGAAAGCCATGCTCAAAATGATGAAGAGATCATCTAACAAGCTGATACACGATTTTTCTTCTTTCAAGATTTGAGTGTTTGTGTTTGACTCTTCATTAATGAAAACTATGCAACCGTAAACAAGCCATAATCCTCCCCTGCGGTCCATTAGAATAACTGTGGCTGAACGTCATACTCAAGATACTTTCCTTCTGAAGTGATTGGATTAATGACATAATGACAGTGTAGCGGTGCAGCTGTCTAGAAAAGCTCCATTAATTAACAGCATCAGTATGCAAACTCACAGGCGTTGCTCTTTCTGGGTGATTCAAGCGGATGGAACACACACACATGCATGCATGCATCTGTGCACAGGCCAAACAATGTGTCCTCTATTGAAAGGAGAAGAGAGACACTCTATCTTCCCACTTCATTTGATTCATCTCCTTGGCTTTTCTCTCGGAGCTGTGCGTCTCTCACACATCCTTCCTCTCCCCAGCTCCGCCAATGAATGTGCCTCTGTTTCAGATCGCTGCTTCGGGGCTACACACACCCATCTGTCTGCAGATGTTACCGCTCACTGTTCACTGTGTGTGAGTGTGAGTGTGGGTGACGGACTGTGCTGAATAGTGAATGGCCGAAAATGCTGCACAAGCAGCGAACAAAGCGCAATGAATCAAAGTGGTGAAAACAAACCACACTCAATAACAGGAAGATTCTTTGAAAGCTCGGCTCAGTTAAAGATATTACGGTAAGAAAGTATTGTTACATGGGAAATCCTGGTGTATATTTGTCTAATTTAATTATTAAGCCTGGATTTGCATCTTAGTTTTAATAACATCAAATGTTTAAACTAAGATTTGAAATTCTAATCTTCCACTTATAACCAAAAAACTATTTAACTAGTCACTATCTTGTTCTGAAATATATGCTCATACACCAAGAAAATGTCCTTAAATTTAGTCAGAATGTGCTTCCTCCCTCTGAAGGTACATTTAGCACTTCTCCCCCAGTGGACCAAAGCATGCAGCTAAAGTACAATGTCACCAGCTACTCATGCACATAACTTCTTTTGTGCCGTTTTCAGTAAATATTCCACAACCCGAAAATGCCTTTGAGGAGGATATTCTATTTCCGTGTGGATCATCTAAATAAGTGGTCATCCTATCCTCCTCATTCTGGTGATATATTTACATAATTTTTCTGCGCATGGTGCACTTTCAGGTGTATATGTTTGGTGAGCTACGGTTTCAGACAGTCATTGAAGCTTGCCTTTCTACTTTTGGAAAGTGCGCTTGCATGAGCGATGCAAACAGCAACTTTTAAACAGAGCATGCACCAGGAGAAATAAACGTTCCCTCTCAGGAGCAGGTACAGAGTAATGCATGTGCATTGTTTGTTTTTTTTAGTGGAGAGGGTGGGTCTTTTCAAAAATTTGGGAAAACCCTCCCCTATATCTTTAAAAATGCTGAAGTTTTACATTTACTTGTCTTTGGTGTTTGCATTTTCTTCCACTTATTAAATTCCTGCAAACTGATCTGATATTTTCCCAGCAAACTATTTGGTTCCCATAAAAATAAAAAAAGAAACTTATATTTAAAAGTGTTAGATCATTTATCTTGTTTTAAGACATAATTTCTAATTGTAAGTGTTGCCTATGTTTACTTCTAGATATAAAAATCTTAAATCAAAGAAATCTTGTTAAGTAATTTTACAGTTAAACAGTTAATTTCACTTAGTTTCAGTAGCTTTTACCTGAAGTTTAGCTTTTTATTTTTTCCTCAATTTTAAACACCCTTTTTTGCAGAGTTTAATTTTGATTTTTTTTTTAAACCACTGCAGTTTCCATGCTTGTGGAACACAATAAATAATTATTAAATAGATTTTTAATGCAGACAACTAAAACTGTACCAATTCACATTATAAAAAAATAAGTTCATTCACTTATTTACATTGCGTCTGAGGATAATATATCAGATAAGGATATAACCCTATTAGTTGTTGATGTCCAGGAATAACAGAACCTTTCTGTTTTAACCAAAGAATTGTAGTTTTACTGTTGAATGCTACAGAGACAAAGAAAAGAGAGAGATCAGGAAGGTTAATCACTGAGGGACTGAAGTAATACTGGTTAGCCAAAGGACACAGGGCCAAATGTTTAGCAGGACATTCAGCCGAAAAGCAATGGCTGCCATTGGATAAAACTGAATTTCAAGATGACTGTTTAAAAACTTAATTAAGCGACCCAACCCAGTTATTAGTTTCCATAAGTTCTAAAAATAAAAGCCTGGTTTGTGTATAATCAGATCATACTGCAGAGAAACAGACTGTTCAAGATGATCTTTTGGGTTTTGGACAAGACTCCCTTTCTGCTCGCACACAGACAGCGACAGACGTAAGTGGATGTTTTTATGGTTTCTATTTCCACAGAAAACACAGAGATCCAGGTGACTTTGACCCTGCAGGCTCGAATGTTTCAGGTGAACACAGCTTGTGTTTGTTTGGGTTTTACCCTGACTCTCAACATTAACACACAATGTTGGCACAAATACATGCCTGCATATCCTGTAGGCACAATTTATATATTTAGTGAATTTCTTTAGTTGTTTTTAGCACATTTTTAATGTGATTACACCTTTCAGCAATCGTTGACAGCCTTTAAACTGTCCTGACCTAAAGAAAGTCTACCCTTAAAAGGTGTGCTTTATAAATGAGACCTAATCTACAAAAAGACACACAGATTTAGATGCATTTCACAGTTCCATAAATAGAAATTAATAATATTAATGAAGAGGACCTTTTTACAGCGTAAAATTTCAGCATGCAGGGCCGGCCCTTCTTAAATCATACCCGCCCCAACACTTACTCTCTAGCCAAAGCACCTACCTGTAACAGTAAATAAATCAAAGAGCTCAAGTAATACAGTGTTAACTACCTAAATGATGCATGCAGTATATATAGCCCTTCCTTGTAATGCACATCCTTGTGACGGTTAGCATATGGTCTAATTTTCTATTTCTTCAAACTGTAAAATCCTTGCAACAAACAAAATTATAATAAAACTAAAATGCTTTCTTTAAACCAAATTACGATGGTCATCTTATATTTGGCGAATGTATGTTCGAATATTTAGCAAAAATCTGTTGCGGTGCATGATGTGGTTTTGCATCTAAAGGCTAACGTTTCCCGTCTTACTTGCATTGTTGCCAGGTTGGGATGTTTCCCAATCTGGCAGTTTAGGATGACTATCTATGGGTATATTGTAAATTTGAATTGTAAATTTGAATTGTAAAATGGGCAGATTTATGGCCTAAGAGATCAACAGACTTTGGTTCAAATTGATCGAGATTTCGGATATCCAGGCGGTTTATAAAAATGTTTTGGGCTGGATAACGTGAGTCAGTGACATCTGGCAACCCCGCATATGTGGTGAGTGGGGACGCCTTAGCAGCAGTCCCTAACGCGTGCGTCCGTGTTAATAACTGAAGCCAGTAAAACCGCATTATAGAAGTCTTAGTGATGGTTGTGGTGTGATGCTTAAAGACAGACTAGTTAATCCACAGTGCGTATTCTTATTGTGTTTCACATTGGAGACGCACCGGTTTAATGAGCTTCTATTTTTTTTTTTTTTTTTTTTTTTGGGGGGGGGGTTCATCTGTGGGCCGGTGTTGATGGAAAAATGCCAGGTCCGAAAATCATTCCCAGTCCGAGCCTGGGCAGGCCCCAGGCCCTGCAAAACCTCATCAGACAGTAATACAGTTTAAATCAACTGTGAATGTTACTGGAACAAAATGACATAGATATCCTGAAATGGGGAGATGTGGGAGTGGATGTTAGTTTCAATTGCCTGTTGCTATATAGTGGGTTGATGTTAACAAAGCAGTCAAAACGCCACCAGAAATTATTCCAAAATGAATCGCGCTCCTTTTTGCTATAAACCATCACCGCATCACAAAAGAAAATATTGCTGTAAAACTGAAACTTATGTAAATTTGCTCTTACTGTAGTCTCTCTCTCGATTATTACTTTCCGGTTTCACATTCTTTACCTTTGTGTAAATCTGGCTGTGTTCTGCAAAACAGTGTAAAAATAATGTTTGTTCTCCAGTTTGTTTTTATTCATGAAAAGGTCAGTAATGTTCATCATAGCTGTGGTTATTCTACAGGAGATCTAAATTGAGTTTGTGTCCAAACTACTGCAGTGACACAAACACTGGCAGCTTTTATCAAAGTCTTTCAAAGTTTTTCTTTCATAAAATAGCTTTACGAAGGGTATTGCTTTTATCTGTTAAAAAATATATATATTTTATTTTTAAGCAACAAGATTAGATAAGATAAGATCAGATAGATTTTGGTAATCGTACAGTGGAGAAATTCACTTGTCAAATTTACTCAATAGTCAAAAGAAGGTGCCAAAAGGAGAAAAAGGTGCATGGGGTACATACAGTATATACAATGCGACCACATATATGTATATATAACAGCTGAAGTCTCTTATTTAACAAGATTATTGCACAGGGTTATTGCTCGGGGTATTAAATAGGTATTTATATATGTATTTATTAAGAAAGACCTACAGAAATGCAAACACTTCCAGAAAGATGCTTTCAGTTCATCACTTTACTCTAAATCAAGTTTTCAGTGAACAGATCTTTGGGAATCACTAAAATAATTGACCTGTAAACTCATATTTGGGATATTTTTTGTAATATTTACTCTAAGACAACTCACTGCTTGTTTATTTCTTTCTTGTGGAATGTTTTTTATACTAGAATAGCTAAGAGACCATAGTTATATTTTAAAGAGGTATAACAAACACAAACAATGTGTCAGATAGAGGATAGAAAATTCCAGAAACATCCACAGCATTACTAAAGAAAATGACGTTGGAAGTAAAATAAAATTTTTAAAAATATTATTTTTTGCTACGATTCCTTTTACATTCCTGATATCAACTGAAATATTCACCTCATAAATTGAGTCTAAACCGCATATTTTCAGATTAAGTCCATGTTCAGGAAGCTTGATGCATTGCAGTTAAAGTCGGTATCGGCCAATATTGGTCATATTTAAGCAGGTCGACTTCAAGCCAATAGGGGAAACTCAGCTTTTATAAACAATCAATACTTTTTCATGTAGCTGCTCTTTGTGTTTTAGGAGGGGAGGGGATCGGTCATGGGGTATTTGTTTGGTCATGTGAAAGTGATTGTAACACAGCTCAGTTTGTGGATGTTTAACCGAAGCGGAACAGTTCTGTGGCGTCAGAAGGGTGGGGCAACATGATATATAATATTAGTAAATATCAGTTATCAGAGATAACAGGAATATTAATATTGCATATTGATATTGGCCCATATTTTCATATCGATATGCCCCATGAAAATATTAGAATGCATATAACACTTTTCCATCCAAAAATAAAAAACAAACAACTAAAGATTCTATGTGAGAAGCAAAGAAGAAAAGTGCTTGGTGTTAAGGAAAGCTTAATTCTGTTTCCGCTCTGTACCGACCTGCACCTCTGAGTCAGCGCTGACAGGCTGCAGCTGGAACCAGGTGTCTTTCCCATGATATTTCTGCAGGTCCTCTTTCTTCACTGCCACCTTGCCTGCGCATACACACACACACACATCAGCAAACAAAGACAAATGAGCTCAAAACTCGACTCACTTTATGCTTTCACAAAGAAAAAAAAAAAAAAGCTTACGTGTTCAGATTAAATCTACAGCCAGAGCTCGAAAAAGGCCCACGCACAACTCTCACATGTCTGCTCATGCACTCTAAATCCTCACACATCCATCCATCCATCTTTACTTTAACCAAACAGCCACCTGGAAAGGAAATACACACAATGTGCACTTTGGTGGCCTGGAGATAACCCCTAGAAGTTCACCGTACCACCTGCAATCATTCACACACACACACATACAAACAGGGAGGAGCTGTGAAGGTTTTTCAGTTTGAGGTTGGTGATCAAACCCACCTTGATTCACACTGACACACCCAAACCACTGAAAAACTGCTGCTCATCACCTAATATGAACAACTATTGTAAAATAATAAGAAAACATCATTTAGATGTGGATGTAGCCTCCTTCAGAATGCTCAGCTGGTAAAAACTGAAAGACTTAAAATACATTCATTTTTCATTGCAGTAGTGGATCTTAAGATGAGAAAATCTGCTGTAGTTCTCTATGGTGGCTTTATAACTGCATTTTCTAGCCGTTTCCTGAATTTTGAGACACTTTTTACATTTTTCATCTGAAGGAAAAGATGAAATTTACTATTTAAAGATTTCTAGACACACTGATAAAACTTAAAAAGTAAAGCAGAAATGATTTACATTAACATTTAGTTTTGATGAATTGGGGCAAAACATGTTGCACCACAAATGTATTTACTGATAATGAACTATCTGCAGGGGGGCTTGTTTCCTGCTAAATTCCTATTGAAATTTTAAAAAAGCACCTTTTTCCCTCATATTTTTAGAGTAAAATGACAATTTTACAACTTCATTTAGTTTATTTTAAAACTTTTAACCAATGAGGTTAAAACAAAATGGGAATAATGAAGGGCGGGTGCTTGAGGTTGCAGAAGTTGAAACCTTTTCGGTAAAAGTGTAATTTCTTTAGGAAGGGGGAGTTCTATTGTTTTTTTTTTGTTTTTTTTTTTATTCCTTAGAGCGGTGGTATAATGTTTGCAAATGGAGAGAAGTGAAGCTGACACCTGTGCTTGCAGCTGGTTTGCTGAATCAGCCTATAATGAAGAGACACCGTGAAACTAAAAATGTAAAAATGTTGGGCTTGTTAGCACTGCTCAAGGCTGCTGAGGGCGTATTGCCTCTGCTGTTCTGACACATGTTGGATCCAGAACAAAGAGGAACCTGAGTGATGAGACTGCTCACAGTCCAGACACCTTTTATTTTTAGCCCTATTCCAACAATGTAACATCGCTGACTCAGCATGTTGCTCTGAGGACAGACTGGCAACCAGTTAGATTCTGTCAGGGTGTAAACAGCTGGTGACGGCCAATCAGATATCCGGAAGAGAAGCTCCAAAAAGTTAAACAAACCACTGGACTTTATTTTCCAAGTTAGAAGACGTTTTGCTTCCCATCCAGGAAGCTTTCTCAATTCACAACGTCTGGATTAGTGTTGAGTTCCAGGCTTTTATAGAGTAGCCCAACAACAGCCTTGTAATGGCTTAGAAAACATGCAAAATAAAACTGGAAAACCAGCTCCACCCCTTAATGGGAGTCATTGAGGTTGTTATTGGCCTGCGATACCCAATACTGCCAATTCCTCTGAAAAGGAAGGCGTTAAGTGTAATTGTTGGTTGGCTGACCTGCGAGATATTTTATGGGCGATGGGGGTTGAGATGGTATTGGGAAGGAATCAACCGTGTCGCTGCATTGTAGATTTGATTTGATTGCCGAAACCTGAGTCCACCACCTCTGTTTAAATTTAGTTTTTCTCTGTTAACATAAACGGCTTCCTTCACATCGTTTTCAAACCCCCTGTCATCTTTATCTAAAATGTGAACATTCTGGTCCTCGAATGTCCTTAGTCCTTAAGGTGTATGTGAACAGCAGAATCTTGTCTGCAGGAGGACCTCAATGACACCCATTATTAAGGGATGGAGCTAGTTTTCCAGTTTCAATGTTCATGTTTTCTAAGCCATTACACTACTTTACAACATTACGCTAATTCTGACATTTTGAATTGGGAAAACTTCCTGGATGGGAAGCGAAATGTCTTCAAACTTGGAAAATAAAGTCCAGTGGTTTGTTTTTTAACTCTAACTTTTTGGAATGACTATGATCTGGATGACTGATCATCTCTACCAGCAGGAACAGAAGTCAGCCAGACTGTGTTTAACCATCGCCACGGTTATTTTCATGCCTGAAGGATCAATGCATTTGATGGGTAAATATATATTTAGTTATTAAATATCCTGAGATAAAAATGCATTAAATAAGGGGAGTTGGTTCAAATTGCTTGAAAACTAGACTAGAAAGTCATGCATGATAAATATTACTCTTCATTGCAAGGTGACTTCCAAGCAAGGTAAATGGTGATAATGGGATGAAAAAAAGGGAAGTAATAAACAGAGAGATTGGCTTATATCTCACCAATGCTGGAGTCCCTCCTGAATACATCCCTGTCAAAAATGTAGAAGGAGAGATGTCGAAAGCTGCGAGGGATCTCGCAGTAGAAATCCTCCCCATAGAAAGGACTGCAGGAGAGAGAGAGGACTGTGGTTAGAAACTCATCTCATGGATCATGTTTTGCAACAAACATTGATGGCTGAGCATAAGAAGCTCGCTGCAAGAAGAAAAGACAGGTGAAAGTCAGACACGTGCTTCTACAACACTCTAGAATTAGACTGAGCTGAAATAATCTTTTAAGACTTAAATGATGTTGCTGAGATTCTCAGCATAAACATGAACCTGCACAATGATCAAATAATCAATCATAAATTCAGGATGGCAAAAATTAAACAGTAATTCATGTGTTGAGCCTGTTTTTTCCCCTGAAATCTTGACAGAAAAGCTGTAACTTCCAGGAAATAGCATTAGAAGTATTTGGAATCAATTGAAAAGTTGTTAAAATGAGGAGATGGGTATTGAACTGCTGTTGTGTGAAGATTTTCTTATATCAGCTGGGCGGGGTGACAAGCGTATGAACCAAAGGCCCACAGACCCAGTCCGGTTCATTTAGAGGTGACACCACAAGATCCAGCAGAGTATAGCCGTCAGTTTCCTTTGCTAAATGTGGTTTCTGTGTCTAAAACAGGCCAAATACTCTTCCCTTTTTCATTTTTTTTCTCCCTAAAATGTTTTTTTTTTTAGATCTAAAATTTTACTTAAAACTTAAACAGAGAGACATTCACCTCTTATAGAAATGTCTCTAATACTACTGCTAGTTAATATTTTTGGTTAATTAGGTCACTCAACATGCCATTTTGCATCACTAATGTGATCATGGATGGCGTTTGGTGACTTGTTCCCATAATCCATTTCAGTGAAAGCTGTAATATTGTGAAATTCTTAAATAAATGTTGTTTCTTAAAAAATAACCAGAATATTGTTCCTTTCTCCTTTAAGGTACCACATTTTCTAAGAACCCAGATGATTAAAGCTCTTCTTTCAGGGGATTTTTATTATATCATGGGATGAACTGATTCAGTAGAGGAGTCTAGTAAATACCGGAGCAGCTTAATTTATGAATCACAATGGATATCCAACAGTTTTATTGCCCCTGGTGCCAATAGCTGACATATAGTTTAGTTATTAAAAAAAGAGGTTAGGTTTAGGTTAGATTTCCACTTTTATCAGATTTCTTCCTAGTTCTTGTTTCCTGGTTTCATGGAATCATAAAACTATGGCGGAAGAACAATGGCAGAAAATAACCCTGATTCTAAAAAGGTTCCTGAAACCCACCTTGAGTTAATCCGAAATAAAAATGAAAACATCGATCTTAAATATTTAATTTGTGTCTGTAGTGAAAACAAATATGTTTCTCAATCAAAAATGAGCGGCAGAGTTTCATGAGTTACCCATTTATCCGATGGGTTTGCTGGTAAGCTCTCTCTAACATTTTTCCCCATCTAGAGGCCAGGGAACAAGCAACCAGACGGTAGCTGTACATTCATGTTCATGTAAGCACCTCTGCCACATGTTTGTCTATATTCAGATGTGATTGATCCGGTCAATTAATCATCTCCCGCATGAAAACAAAGCCTGCAGGTATTTACGTCTTTCCATGAATCATGCAGGGGGAAAAAGGGACTCTACTGCTAACTTTGCCTGCAAAAAAAGGCCTGTTTGTGAGCAGAGGCTGGAAGGCACAGTGGCTCCCACAGTCCGCCTTCTTTAAATGACAACCACAGAAATCACAGCAATAGGAATCTCGTGAGCCGGGCCCTCGGGGCTGCTGCTGTTACTAATTACTGAGTTGTTCCGCTGCATGGCGGACACGATGATAGACAGAGGAGCAGAAGGAGGAATTAGGAGTATGACTCCACTTATCAATGATCTGGCAAATAAATACATTTGAATTTAGCCATTGTATTTTATTTCCTCAGAGAGCGTGTTTTGGAGTTACCTGGAAAAACTCATGTTGATTATCTTTTTTGCCTGTTTTTTTTATTAAGACCTGTTTTTTTAAAGCAGTCACATGATAAAAAACATTCCAGCTAAATAAAATACCAGCTTTCTGTAGAACGTTTTCTTTTTTGCAACAAAAGTCTAAAAAGCATAACCGTATTTTCTTAAACCACTGTGGCTTTAAAGGTGTAGTGGATGATTTTCATGATTTTTTTAAAAGAACCACCCTCTCCACCATAAAAAAAATGCACATGAACCACCCTTTACCTGCTCCCAAGTATGAACGCCTATTAAACATGTGCAAGACCACGAATGAGCCAATTTCCCCTCGTGCACACTCTGTTTAAAAGTTGCTGTTCTCATAGCTCATACAAGCTTACTGTACCAAACGTCCGTCCTAATCCTCAATCACTATACAGAGCAGGAAATATATATAGTGGACTTTATAGTGAACTCAGTTAACTGACCATTCGGACAGAAAATCACTGCTTTTTGCTCCCTGTTGGTCACGTAACTCCTCCTCCACTGCGCAGTACCTGCGCCATCTTTGCCATTAGTCACCGCTGTCGGTTAGCGACAGCCTTTGGCTGTGACAGCAAATCCCATAATGCGGCCTTATGTCAACATTTCACCAGAATGATTGACAATTAGGAGGATCACTTATTTAGATGATCCACCCGAAAATAAAAGATTGTCCTCTATACCTTTAAATTTTAAAAGTGTAAGAAAGCCACATGTTGCAGGTTTCTTCGACTTTTCCAATTTGTACCTCAGATAATAGTGCATCCCTGGAAAAAAAAGTGTTGCAAGTAAATTTCAATTGAAATACTTGTCAAATAAAACAGAAATCAGTCACTGTTTGGGAGGCTGAATGAAACTTTAGATACTCACTTATGGTAAATGTATAATTTTACATTTCTTTTATTAATCTATGGTTAAAATATGAATTTATGAATGGTTGTTTGTCCTGTTTGTCTCTGTGTTGCCCTGCGGTTGACCTGTCCAGGGTGCACCCTGCCTCTCAGCTGTTGACAGCTGGAGATGGGCACCAGCACCCCTCAAGACCCCACTTGGGATAACGCGTGACAGAAAATGGATGGAAGGTTAAAATATGGAAAACCATTGATAGATTTTGTTCTCATCTCCTTTTTCTGACTTATTTAAAGTCTATTCTGCTCCAGCTGCAATGATTTCACTTTGTATATGGGAAGAGAAAGGCGGAGTGCTTGCAACACAGGAATCTCTCAAATATAATCCAATGTTTTCATGAGCATTAGCCACGAGTTTTCCTAAACTATCCACCCAAAAATAAAAGATCGTCCTCTATACCTTCAACTTGTAGTCATTGCAACATGTTAAAACTAGAATAAAATCATCATTATAGTCACATCATTTACGTGTACACGCTATACTTTCATTAGAGTTTAACAAAAAAATATTTTCTTCCGAATCATTAATTTAATATGTTTGGGTATAAATGTGCACTTGCTGTATAAGTCTTCCACTGTAGCTCTCTAAGCTTTTTTATGCTTCTGTTTTCAAAGTAGTGACACATACTGTTTTAAAGAGAGACTGCAGAGCTTATAGTGCATCTCATCTGCATCAATGCCAAAACTTGCTCTCTCCTTTTACCATAAAAAAACTGAAAATGTTCTAATAACAAAAGGCAATGCTCATCTTCAGGGTTTAAAGGTATACCAAACTTGGATAAGCTGCAGTTTAAAAACTGCTTACATTTTCTTTCCAAGCATTACTAAAATTTCAAGTGCTTTTAATTAGATGCAGGAGATTTCGGTCTCCCACAACCTCTAGCTACAAATTAGCAGTCAGCTGACAGACAGAACGCTCTCACTCTTTTCTTCGCTAACAGGTAAGAAAGTTCAGAAATATTTCTGTCTGCAATAAAAAATGAACAGCTATGAAACCGAGGGAGCAGTGATCAATGTTAAAGCTTTTTTCAAAACTATAATTGGGAAGTAAATGTTCAATAATTTACTGAATGCTGGCTGCAAGAGCAGATAGCCAAACTAATTATCCAGCTACTATCAGCACTCAGTGGATCTTTATTATTTATTATCATAAATCTGAGTTACTGTAGCATTAGGGTGTCTTGTGAGAATCCCTTGCTGGACCATCCCTAGATATAGCATAATTTTGGTATAACCAGCACCAAGCTACTGCTTTTATTACTCTACAAATCTCCACAATAGTGTATCCTCTGGGTTTTAAGGAAACGGTCATTGCACTTCACAATCTAGACAAAGCAATTAGTTTTAAACACCTGATAGATGCATCAAGAGGAGCGAGAAGCTTCAGATCTGACTGTAGAAAGGTTTTGATCTATAAAGATGATGGAAATCAAACCTGCTTTTATTTATATACTGCTAAAAAAAAAACAGTTTGAATCAGCTCTTTAGTTAGAAAGTCGGTTGCATCTTCTGCTCTGAGATGATGCAACCAAAACATCAGAAGGAGGAATTTATACAAAATGAGCTTGAGATGTTGCTGGAGTGTAACAACCCTTTTTTTAATGTAGAAAAATAGGGTTCAATGACAAAGACACGAATGAATGAATCAGATGACCAGACAAGGGGAAAATGGGTCTTCAGACACACCAAAGTGACTTTTCCACGATCTTGGTCCTGAAGACCTCTTCTTGGTCCAGGTTGACAGTGCAGTAACAGTCTCGCATCCTGTTTGGCCCTGGATATGGAGGGATGTTTTTTGCTTCCCCTGCACAAAAAAAAGATAAGTGAGAGTAATTTAGAAGTACAGCAAGGGCAAGATAGGGCTGAAACAATTAATCGGATTAATTGTGATCAATTGATTACTGAAGCAATCGTCAACTAATGTAGTAATCGATTAGTCGTTAACTGGAGTATAGAGACTCTAAACATGCCTTTAGCTGACAGAGTGACCCAAGAGCTGTAATTACGGTATATGAACATTTTTAAACAATATATAAAAACATCTTGGATTTAAGATGGAAAAAATATTTTTTCGTCTGTCAATATGCTCTATCCAGAACTCCACAAATGGAAAATCTTTTGTGTCACCTTGTTTAATTCTGTAAAAAAAAAAAATATATTTTTGAGGAACCTTTGGATATTAATCGATTTGCAAAATAACCATTAGTAGCAACAATAATGTAAGATCAAACCTGTTAAAGCTTTAGAAGAATATATGTATAAATATGTGTGTTTTGTGTTTCGGTGCAAATTCAGCTGCACAAAAAAAGTGAGGTTTAATCAAAACTACTGTATCTCACACATACATGTCAGGCTCTCTCTGAGCCACGGTTAACAGAAGGACATGTGAACAGCCTTCTGATATGTTTCGCTGGTCACATCTGTAAATGCATGGGACATTTCCTGAAGTTTTCAGAGTCTCAATCTGTTCATCAGACACGTGTGAACGACAGCACTCCCTTTCACAAAAAATGCTGTCCTGCCACCCACTGAGACACACAAACACGACGCAAAGGTGCTTCATGAAGCGGTGGATCCACTGGTCTTCTCTGTATTGTGTTTCTTTCCACCCTGGGGACCCTGCTGTCTTTACTTACACATATGTTAAGAAACGCTTTCAGTGTTTTCTCCAGTAACGCACCATCTGTTAAGTAACCCAATGCAGCCTTGTCTGGCTGTTTTATTAAAGCCATTAAGAAGTTACTAATCTAAGAGCTACAAAGGAACCAATTTTAAAAACATTGGGGATCTAAAAAAAAATCTAAATATCTGAATACATCTTGCTTTTAATTATACATTCATCAACCTGTTAGGGTTACAGTTAATTCATAAAGAGCCTTAGTAATTATCTCAGTGATTTCTTTTAAACAGCAGCTGCCCACAAAGGTATAAAATCCTATAAGATGATTAAAAAAAATAATAATAATTTATAGTGGAGATAAAAAGCCCTGTGAGTAAAACTTTATCATATTAACTCAATTAAACCGGGTGTAAGATTATAGGCCTGAGTAAAAATAACACAAAAATAGAAAAATCCATCACATCATCAAAGTGGTGCTATTTGAAACAGAAACCAATCAATCAATTTTAGTGCTGCAAAAAGGATTTTTACAGTTATTACAATAATTAAAGATACATTTTTACTGTAAGTTTTAAAATAGACTTTTTATTTAACCCTTTAATTCTAAAAAATGGTTTGATGAGCAGACTTCAGTAATTGTGTGTTGATAAATTGCAGGAATTAGAGCCAAAAGTGCTAACATAAAAATGGTTTGTGCCATTTGATACTGTACCCATGCTAATGGTTAGCAGAACCCCTCTGATCCACAGCATATTTTCATATCGATAATGTGTAGTCACATTGTCAAAGACAACACAACTAGAATTGTGTAAATTTTACAGTTTTATCTGACCCGTTTAAACATTTACAGCCTCTACGGCATTCAGCGCTCACGTATCACCTTTGGTAAAGCTGGTATGCTATTTGTTAATGGCATATACCACTTTTCAACTAATATATACAATTTTCCCATTTTTGGCTTCTGCTGTCACTCATATATAAGCCTGCAGTCTATTTTCCCTCATGTATTTCTGGTCGGAATTTCCTGTGGATGTGACGCCATGTTAAATGGGTTTAACCTGCCAAACAACTGAAGCTCACCAATGGCAACTCCACGTAAGGTGAAGAAAGTTAAAAAAAAATAAATAAATAAATTAAAAAAAACTGTTAAGTATGTGGGTAACCTGGGAGAATGAGCAGAAGGGTGTTGCAGTTCGGGGTTTTGGCCACAGGTGGCAGTATCATTAAAACTCTGTGATGCTGCTTTAAAGAGAAGAGGATGGAGAAGATATGTAAGGTAATAGTTTCAACAACTCTGCTTCTTTTATATAATTATTGTAGCTTGATACACAGATGCAAGAAATGTCAGAATAAAAACAGAATAATTTTTGTAATATTATCAGGTAAACCCTGTTATAGATTACAGAAGAAAAAAAAACCCAGGAAAAAGAGTATAAGAGGAATTTGAAATGTGTTTTTCCTGTAAGTTGTGGAAAAATTGTGGCATGATTCTTTCAGCCAGCTGACTGACAGCGTGCAGCAACATTTGGGGAGGGGAAGCACTGTGGGCTTAATATCAGAGATAACTCCTTTCTGTTTGGTCTCTACTCAATAAAATGACGTTAAACCGAGAAAAAAAAAAAAGAAAAAAAAAACGCATGACAGGGATCTCTACCTGATCTAAAACCTCAGCTTGGTAAATCTTGTTAAGCCTGGACAACGGTAACACGCTCATGACTGGTTGAATCCTATTTTGATAACAACAACCACAGATAAACCTCTGAGCCCCTATGCTGCTGTGACCTTAAAGCAAAGAAGAAACAAACTTTCGCTTAAGAAAGCCACTTCTTAACCAACCAGTTTAGAGTTACTTCAGCAGGAAGCAGTGGGCATGTGCTTGGTTACAGCCCCTGCAGCTGAACCTGAATTGGAAAAGGGGAAAATGTTGACATTTGACACTAGACAGCCCTCTGCAACACAACAAAACAGCTAATCTGCTCATGGATTACGGACAGCATTTGTCCTCGCTGTATTCCTGCTTGCAGACGTAGCAGACCCAGAGGACATTTCAATTACTTTGCTTTCTTAGCACATAGACGAATGACCCCCCCCCCAACCTCCATGTATTAAACTAACAAATTAGGAATTAACAGTTCTAATCTAATCCAATCATTATCACTTTCCTACAGTTTAGCTGAAACATATCTAGTTTGTACATTTTGGAAAAAACCTGGAGTTTTATGCAAGGCTGATACAATACCTGTATGTTACCCCCTGCAACAAGATGCAATTGTATCACTATCTTTCATTTCCCACTTTAATAATGACAAAGCTATCTGTCTGAGACAAGTACTGCAATCAGAGTGACAAGATTTCTAGATATGGTGTCTCCAGAGCACGGAAGGCAACTGTGAAACACGGGTAAGAGGAGCTGAAGGGATAAACTGCACTCTGTGGGGTTTCAGATACAGCAGCATTATGACGGCTTCTCTGGAGACAGATTCATGCCCTGCATGAACCATTGCACAACAGCTCGTGATAACAGCATTCATTCACAATGGAAGCAGACACCTGAGCTGTACTACACAACACACTTCATTGCTTCAACTTGTAGACTGCAGCTCTTACGTCGGAGATGACGATACCTGCTTTTATCTCTGCTTTTACCCCTTCAGTTGCATCTGCTATTAGATTCTCATCATCTCTGCTTTTCTGTCATCTATTCTCCAATTTTTATTTTCATCACCAACCAGTAATCTCTCTCATTCACTCCATGCTGTTAAATTCCCTTTAATCTTGTTTTTTTTTTCCACCCACCAACACTCATTCATGATCTGTGAGATGCCTTGATTGGATTGCAAGCATCCAGGTCGTCCAAAATGCCACAGGATTACTAACGCTTTCTTTGCTCTGTGTGCGTTTTAAAGACTCAACTTACCAAAGAAAGAAGAAAAAAATAACAGCAGCAAACATAGACAGCAAAAAAGTGTTTTTTAAAGCATCCACCTGCAACACATTTCAAATGCTTTTAGATATTTAACGAACAATCATTTTTTTTACCTTTCATTTATGGGTTAATAAAGTAAAGTTAATAAATGTAATGAACAAGCAAACAAAACAAACATATATTCTTCTTTAGATAAAACAATATATGCCAAGCTTTTGTCCTTTGAGCATGTGTCAAAAATTTAGCTTGATGATTAAGAAAATAATTTGGAAATTCTTTGGATCCATTTTGCCACTGTAACACCAAAAAATATATTTTTCCAGTACAATTAAAAAGGATGATAAAATTGCTTAATCGCCAAGATCGCCACATTTCTGCCTTTATGTTTAATAATATATATAACATGCAGCAAAACATTGTGGGTTATATACTTTAGAAATGTCTCAGATGCTAGCAAATTACTAATACTTGGATATATTATATTTTATCTTTGGAATTAAGTAAAAGTACCTAGCTGGATAGCTATTGATATCCTGATATATTTTAACAGTTTGTATGAATAAAAGAAAATGTTAAGGTTACTGCAAAATTTAATATTTAGGAGCATGCTGATTAATTACTTCTTATTTAAATGTAGATGTTCTTAACTTTGTTATATTTGGGACTTTGATTTAAGGTATATGATCAGAAGGAATAGTAGCTGAATATGATTTCATGTAGAAAAAATGGTTTATTAGTACTTCTGGTGGTTCATACATGGTATGTAAACATCATTCTTTATCTATGGTGGCCAAAAACACTAAAATACACTGGGTCTTATCTCAAAAGGTTTTAAATAAAATAACTGCATGTGCAATAAGTGGGTATGTTGCAGGTGATCTACAAAGACCGCTTGTGCAAATGGTAAGAAGGGCAAACCGCCCTAATAAAAAGCAGAATTTATATCATACCAGCAGTTTTAGTGGCTGTAAAAAAGATAAAGTTTTATGTCAAGAAGTTGGAGGTAGAAGTATTTTATAATTTATTATTATTATGTGCATTATGAATAATAAAATAAAGTGTCTCAAAGTACTAAAACCAAAAGTGAAAAAATAGAAATATGAAAATAACAAAAGTTAAATAAAAAAAGAAATGCTCAACAAATGGATTTAGCTCAACCAACTCCTTTCAACAGCCGACCCAATATATTGCAAATTAGGTTAGGCCCATAATAATTTCGTAACACTTAACTGTGGTTTATGCGAAACTCATTAAAGAA